AACCTCGTTAGCCATGTCAAATCCCCAATCAGTTAATAATGTAAGCCTGCCTCTTGAAATACAATGTCCAGCGAAGTACATCATAAAACTTACTTTTCAAATCATTTTCTTCAGAGCAAATAATATTGGTTCTATTTTTTTCTCTCAGCTCATTTTGCTTTATTATTTTAAAATTCGCATAATTATTCTTTAGTTGTTTGGTACTGAACTTTAGGCAGGGAGTGGAAACAAGAGCTAAGTCAAACCAGGTGCAGTGGCTCACACCTGTCATTCCAGTACTTTGGGAGGCTGAGGCAGAAGGATTGCTTGAGGCTAGGAGTTTTAAATGAACCTGAGCAACATAGCAAGGCCCTGTCTCGATAAGAAATTAAAATTAAAAAAAAAAATTAGCCAGGTATGTGGTGCATGCCTGTGGTCCCAAGAAACTCTGGAGGTGAAGGTGGGAGGATCATGTGAGTGTGCAGGAGTTTGAGGCTGCATTAAGCTGTAATTGTATCATTGTACTCCAGCCTAGGTGACACAGTAAGACCCTGTCTATAAAACAAACAAACAAGCAAAATCTAAGTCATATTAGTGGGATATCTACTTTGAGTTATCCTTGGAATATCACTGATGTCAATATACAATGTAATAGTGATCTGACTCTTTCAAAGATAATAGCAAATAAATGTGTGATTATACAGTTTGTATTGCTGCTAGGAGCGATCTCCTTCAGTATTGCGCAACACAACATTGTGAGTCAGATTTTGTAGTGGTGCTTTCCATATGCTAGTTAACTTAGACTTCAAGACAAATCCACCAGATCGGTGTTATTCTCACTTTATTGGAAAGGAAATTGAAATTCTGAAACACAGTAACCACAGCTAAAGTTTAAACTTGCAATGTTTTAAGTTAGAAAACTCCTAATCTTTCCAGTTTGCTTCACTAGATACTGAAAAATGTAAAAGGATTGTTTGATGATAATAAAACTCTGGGACAATGTACAGAATCACCAACTACCATAAACAAACAGCCTCCTGAAAATTTAGACAAAATTATGTCAAGAAAACTTGAGAGACTTATCCTCACATAGCCAAGTAAATAATTTCACGAGACTAAACTCTGTCATTGTATTCTTATTTAAACTTAAAAAAAAAAATTCTCTTCTTAGTATCTCAATATACTTATTGTCTTCCTTTCTTACCAGTTCTTTAGACCAGAAATCCCTATCTTATGGAGATATAAGTAGGAATGAATAAAAGCTTTGACAAAAATACTATTTTACTCGTGAGACTAAGCCTTAAAGTTAATGCAATTTTAGGGCAATAGTCTTCCTCTATGTGTTTCTCACCTATGTTTGTAACTCCGGTGGAAAAATATCTTTGAAGTCCACAGCAAAGCTTCATGCTCAGAGAAAAAATAAAGCTACAGATGATGTCTTGTTCACTTTCATACCACAGGTTGTATTTTGCCAGCACTTACTAGTTTTCCTTGAATTAAAGTACGTATACTACTACTGTTGCTCTCCATTTGATTTCGTGCTCTCCACTAAAAAGGCTCACCTCAATCACTGTACTACTGGGCTAGTTTCTTAAAGCAAGGGTCCCCAGCCCACAGACCATGGACCAGTAGTGGTCCATGGCCTGTTAGAAACAGGGCTGCACAGCAGGAAGTGAGCAGCAGGCGAGCGAACAAAGCTTCATCTGTATTTACAGCCGCCCCCTATCACTCACATTACTGCCTGAGTGCCGCCTCCTGTCAGATGAGTGGCAGCATTAGGTTCTCATAGGAACACAAGCCGTATTGTCAGTTACACACGTGAGGGATGTAGGTTGCATGCTCCTTATGAGAATCTAATGTCTGATGATCTGAGGTGGGGCTGCAGCCGTGATGCTAGAGCTGGGGAGTGGCTGCAAATGAAGATTAACATTAGCAGAGAAGTGTGACGGCACAGAGGCAATAATAAATCAATTGCTTACAGACTCATATCAAAACCCTGTCAGTGAGTGGCAAGTGACAAGCTGCATCTGAGGGCAGGCTTTAGAGTGGAAAGTGAGTTGATGTACTTCAGTTGTACAGCTGCATTTGGTGCCTTTAAAAGTATGTTTGAGACAACTTCAAATCTCCATACCTTCTGGATTAAAGTTTTAAAGCAGAATATCCTGAAACTGCCACAAAAGCACTGAAAACGCTGCTTCCATTTCCAACATCTTATCTTAGTGAAGCAGGGTTTTCTGCAGTGACAGCAACCAAAATGAGATTATGGAGTAGACTGAACATAAGCAACACACTTCGGGTGTCACTGTCTCCCATAAGTCCCAGATGGGACCGTCTAGTTACAGGAAAGCAAGCTCAGAGCTCCCACTGATTCCACATAGTGAGTGGTATCATCTACATCATAATGACTTGTATAATCATTTCATTATATATTACAGTATAATAATCACAGAAATAATGTGCACAATAAATGTCATGTGCTTCAATCATCCCCAAACTTTCTCCCATCCGTGGTCCAGAGAAAAATTGTCTTCCATAAATCTGGTCCATGATGCCAAAAAAGTTGGGAACCACTGTCTTAAAGAAACAATGCTAAAGGCAGAGTTGTCAAATCCTGCATAATGTAAGCATCAAAATAATTCATCCAGACTAGTGGTATTTTAGGGTACTTTTCTTTTTTTATACTGAGCTTGTCTGCATTTATAATATTATATAAATAACTGGCAATTTTTATACTTCATTTGTCAACAAAAGCACATCTTGAGAATCCAAAACATCCACATGCTTGTATTTCTAAAGCTGAAGAACCTTCAGTCATTTACCAGGTGACTAAGAACATGGATAATAATCGTTATGTCCTCTGTTAAAACTCTGGGTGTCCCCTTCATAGATGGTAATAGTCACTTGAAATGTTTTATGTGATTATGTATTTAAAATAAATGGTCTTTCATTCTGTGAATGTTAGTTATCATAGAAATGGATTCTGTTCCCACAAAACAATTTGGAAACGTGGGCTGGGTGTGGTGGCTCACAACTGTAATCCCAGCACTTTGGGAAGCCAAGGTGGGTAGATAGTTTGAGCCAAGGAGTTTGAGACCAGCCTGGGCAACATGAGGAAACCCCATAGCCACCAAAAATATAAAAACTAGCCAGGCATGGTGGTGCATGCCGGCAGTCACAGCTTCTCAGGGGCCTGAGGAGAGAGAATCACTTGAACCCAGGAGGCAGAGGTTGCAGTGAGCCGAGACTGCGCCCTGCACTCCAGCCTAGGTGATAGAGGGAGACCTGTCTCCAAAACCAAAAAAACAAAAACAAAAACAAAACAAAAGACCAATGTGGAAACTCAAATTAGGAGCTCAGTCTTGTTAAATAACTGAGGGCATCATTCAATTCTCTAGGGATGAAGAGTTGAGGATATTTTTTTCTTTTTCCTCTTCTCTAAAACAACAAAAAAGAAAAACAAAACAAAAGCAAATATCTAGCTGTTGACCTTGAAAATATCTTACTGTTTTACTTTTGGAGATAAATTTTATAGGTGCAAGAATGATTTCAAACCCACACTTTTCAACCTGGGAAAAATGTTCTAAATAGGGGACAGGGATGGAAAATTTGGAAACTCCAGAGATCTATTTGAAGCTGTTTATATCCTTTGTTTCTTCTATGTAAACCTTTAGGGTGCAAGTTACAAACTGGGGCCAGGGGCTGAACCTGGCTACAGAAGTTCTGCACATTACCACTCTGTTTTCTGACATCTCTTCTCTTCATAAAATTAAATTATCCTTCTGGGATCTGAAGACTCTAGAACCTTAAATCCGTCTCTTAAACCTAATATGATAATAATAATACATATTTTTGAGACAGAATATCACTCTGTCACCCATGGTGGAGTCCAGCTTGGCTCACTGCAACCTCCACCTCCTGGGTTCAAGCGATTCTCCTGCCTCAGCCTCCCGAGTAGCTGGGATTACAGGCATGCACCACCATGCCTGGCTAATTTTTGTATTTTTAGTAGAGATGGGGTTTCACCATGCTGGCCAGGCTGGTCTCAAATTCCTGACCTCAAGTGATCCACCCACCTCAGCACCCCAAAGTGCTGGGATTACAGGTATGAGCCATCATGCCCGGCCTAATATGAAAATCATTTTAGGTAAAATAGTAAAGGATGTAATTGTGACCTATTATTATTACGATGCAGGTATTTAACACAATGCCTGGCACATAGTCATTACTCAATAAATCATAGTATATTAGCACTTGGTAATATCTTCTAGGCATTTGAGAAGTTCATCTTACCTTTTCTAGTTTTCTGTAAAAATTTGTTTTTCAGAGACAGGCCTTGCTCTGTCACCCAGGCTGCAGTGCAGCAGCATGACCATAGCTCATGTAACCTGGAACTCCTGAGCCCAAGCGACCCTCCCACCTCAGCCTCTGTTAGGACTGCAGGTGCATGCTATCATGCCTGGCTTTTTTTTTTTTTTTTTTTTTTAATTGGTGGAGATAGGATCTTACTATGCTGTCCACGCTGGTCTTGAACTCATTTATTCTAGTGATCTTTCCGCTTCAGCCTCCTAAAGTGCTGGGACTATAAGTGTGAGCCACTGTACCCAGCCTAGACTATGTTCGTGTCACTACTTTGTTCTGTGTCATTAGAAAATGCCTGCATTTCATTTTTTTAAAAACAAAACTTTCTGACCAAGCATCGGTGGCTCACGCCTGTAATCCCGCACTGTAGGTGGCCGAGGCACGCAGATTACGAGGTCAGGAGATCGAAACCATCCTGGCGAACGTGGTGAAACCCCGTCTCTACTAAAAATACAAAAAATGAGCCGGGCGTGGTGGCGGGCACCTGTAGTCCCAGCTACTAGGGACGCTGAGGGAGGAGAATCGCTTGAACCCGGGAGGCAGAGGTTGCAGTGAGCCGAGATCGCGCCACTGCATTGCAGCCTGGGCGACAGAATGAGACTCCGTCTCAAACAGCAGCAAGAACAACGACAACAAACCCCACAAGATTTTCTTTCAATTACCTTGTCCAAAATGAGCTGCCTTGTGCACGGCTTGAACACCCGGGTATCCCAAACTCCTACAGATGACCTGTCCAACACGCACTTCCCAGCGATCGTCACAAATTGTACCCCACTGGCCGCTGTGGAGTATCTCCACTCTCCCCTCGTGAGGGCCGCTCCCATCGACCAGTCGAACTTTCTTAAATGAGGCTGTTAAAAAAAAAAAATTCAGACAAGCAAGGACTAATTATGTACACACTGTTTTATAGCACCTTTTTACAACACACAGAAAAACATTTTAGCACATTTTTCCAGTAAGTTAAACTATTGCAATAAATATTAAACTTTCTAGCACCACCTATTGGTAAAGAGTTTAACTGCAAATATTGCAGTTTTAACAGTTGAAGAGCAAAATTCAATCTGTCTTACATGTAAGTTATATACATATGAGGACACTTCAAAGATTATATTCCAACGACTTTCAATTTTAACAGATACAAGTTTACTGTCATATAGATCTTTCATACCATTGAAAAATTATAACTAAATGGTTCATTATTTTCTTGACATGAAAACATACAAACTTATGAACATATAATGCAGAGATTTTCAATGGTATAGGAGGTCGGGGAGCAGATATTTTAGAATATCACAAACACAAAAATAAGTGACCAAACTTCATATCTTTTACCAAGGGAAACAAGGGAACTATAGTGACAACATTCATTTAGAGATAGCAAAGAATTTCCTTGTAGTGAGGTTCCTGGATTCTGTACCAAAGTTTTTGCGTTTTTCTTTTACAGAAAAAAATATTAATGAGATGAAAAATCAGACAATTTTGTGTATTTTGAGAAATGATTCAAATAGTAAAAACAAAGAAATAAACTTTGTTTACAATTATGAAAGTAATTTTGTTCTATAGCGTTTAATCAAAATGACCATGTGTACAATAAACTTTTGTAAACTCTTGATCCTCCTACAGAAAGATTTATATAAATATGAAATGGCTCTTTTCTATTTTTAAAAACCAATATATATGCACTTTGACCTAGGGACAGATTAAATAAAATAGTACAACAAATATTACAAGAGTAATTCACTTGGTGTATGAAAATTCTTTTAAACAGCCTGTATTATTCTGCTAAGTATTTCTTTAGAAAATTATTTGGTTAAAGAACAGAATGAAAGGCAGAGACAAAAAATGTTTTTTAAAATTTAGTTAATACCAGATAAAAATAACAATATTTTCTAATAATCATAAAACAAATTAATGTAAGTCTATTTAAACAAAACATATCTTTTCAAATATAAGTTTGAGGAATGTTATATTATAAAAAAGCAAGATGTAATGTTTACAACAAAAATATCTCTCTAATATGAAAACAGAGTTTTAGGGTATGGCTTTTTGGAGCTTAATAAATTGAAGAAATATTCAGTAACTTTTTTTTCTCCAATTTGAATTCATTTTGTTAGAATGGTAATCTAATAACATTAAAAGTTATTGGATTATCATTCCAACAAATGTTTTTAACTTATGCTTATTACTGTGTTAACAGTAATTTAATAACATTTAAAATTATTAGATTACTGACAATTTCCTGTAATGAAACTAAGTGACCTGAGCCATGCAGAAACATAAAAGGTGGCATGTTACTATATATATATATACTTATATTTATTCTCTTGATTCTTCCAAAATATAATTCAGTGCTAAATACTGAATTAGTGTAAGCATGCCTGAGTGGATAAGCCCTTCTTCACTTAATAAGCATAAGTTAAAAACGTTTTTAAAAATGAAAATAATTTGTTTTTATGGTATCTCAGCTTTCATTTACTAGTAAAATTCCTGAGTGGCCCGATCATTTCTTGTAATTGCCTAAAGAAAATGAGAAAGAAAAATCCAAGAATGGATTGTGAGAAGTCTTTACATATTAAAGTCATGTTTTATTAACTAGTGTGATATCCAAATGTTTATTTTTATACAAGTCAAATACATCTAAACATAATATATTTATCATGCATGCATGCTATGAAATTTCAGGCATATTCGAACATTTGATTATATAAGCATCATTGTCCTGTTGTCCAAACAAGTGTATGTAAACATTCTCACTGTCCATTGTTTACCTCTTACTCCTTCCAAAATGTCATGAATGAGCCGTGCTTGTCCCGGAGCAGTGGTTCTCAAACAATAATATGTAGCAGAACAAGCTCCCAATAGCTAATGCTGTTGGTCCAGGGACCACACTTTGAGAACCACTAACCTAGATCATTGCAGTATATATTTAGAAGAGGAGACATATTATATCAGAAACAGATGGTGCTGCTGATACAATCCTTTGATCTCATTTATTGCAAAGAGAATGGCTGACTGTAAATTTCTACCAAATTCCCTATGCTCAAAGGATCCTGAGGGGGGGTAGGTACGTGTATTCAAATTCTTCAGGGCTAAATATGTTTGGGTATGCTGATCCATATCTGTCACCTGAAATATTGTTCAATTATAAGTCAACTATTAATAGGTGACCACACATTGCTGATCCTTGACCATCTCTGAAGTAATACAGAGGAAGAGTGTCTGAATATGTCAGTAGACTCATTTGAGAGTTGGCTTCACCTGCCATTCAACTGCTCTGTTTTGGTGATGTAGAAAAGTTTGTTTTGTCATGAACCTTGATCATAGCATTTTCTCTGTAAGACTGAAGGATCGAAACTTCTCTGAAACTAGCTAACTCATTGTCATAGATATGTAAAACACGTCTATGGTTTCTTTGGCATCAAGCTAATATATTTAGTCAGATAGGGCTTTTTTTTTCCATTTAGGTATTTTTTTCTTGTATATAAAGATTTCAGAAGACACACGTGTGTGTGTGTGTGTTTGTGTGTGTGTGTGTTTCTGGATAGCTGTTTCCTCTTAACTTTATTTGTGTAGACATTTTCTAGATCCAAATCAAATAAACACAGATAAGCATTGACTATGTGCCTAAACAACGAATCCCTGTATTATTACTTCTTAATTGGTGAAAAAACAGAAACAGAAACTAAAGTAACTTACATCAAAACCAAAATAATACTGTATTTTAAGGATCATTGGATGTTTCATAGAACCCAAGGATAAGATTATAGTTAGGAATCTGGAATAGCCGACCCAAGACCCGAATCCACTTAGGAGGCTCCAACTTGTACCCAGGCTTCTTTCTGTAGGTTGCTTACTTCTTCTTTTTGTTGTGGCAAGCTAGATATCTTTGCTCTCCTGTTCACTTGATAGAACATGTCTGTTAACAGCTCCTAAGTTTATGTTTTACAGTTTCTTTCCCGATGACAGTTACTGTCTCTTTCTCAGTGGCAGACTGACAGTTCTAACACTCACCTAACTTGATATTTTATAGCCTATTTCTTAGTGATAGATTCTAAAATATCCAGGAAAGTTCTTCAATGGCCTAGTTTGGGCCAAATGCCCATCTGTGGACTGGACAAACAGGCAGTGTCACTTGCATGAACATGGCATTCCCAGAGTGAGAACGGGGAGGCATTTCCATGTTGAAACAGTTTTGAGCAGACAAAATATATTAAGTCCATTCCATAAAAGATATTTTAATAATCTTGCTGCTTTTATGCAAATATTTGCGTTTCTTTATAGAACAAGTTTGGGAATCCCTGATAGAATTACAAACATAGTAGACTAGAATGATAGAGGACTTCATGAGAATACTCTTGCCAAGTGACTTGTGGAATAAATAAGGTCATGATTAATCTCTGTTCACCTTTCTAATCTAACCCTTGAGAAATTCTCCTTACCTACATTGCTTTGTCTTTTTACTTTAGTTATATAACTACTCACATTTTTCAAATAAGTCTCATTCTCCTTTATTCCTGGGGCTTTGATTCCTGTCTGGAATGTTCCTTCTTCCCTTCCCACTTCCCCTCTCATTTCTACACTCTCAATCTCCAAATTTTGATTGGTTACTTTATAGCACTATTACAGATGCTGTACCAAACCACAGGAAACTTGTTTGTTTTCCCCGTTAGACTGAAAGAAACCCCTTATGGTCATCTTTTCAGCATCTGACAAAATGCAAGTTGTCACTTAGTAGTCACTTGATGAAGAGTTATGGCATGAATGAGTAAACGAATGAATGGTGAGCTTCTCTTGATACATGAATTGCATTACCCAGTGAGATTAAATTGGCAAATGCTTAAAATATCAAATCATAGAAGAAACAGAATTTAATATTTCATAAGTCTTTAGAGGGAATATAGTTTCTATGTGTAGAAACAGAAAAATCATGAAGGAAAGACTGATTTAACTGGCATAAACATGAGTGTTTTTATGGAAAAACGCATACGGCTGGCTACCAGAGCCTCTCCATATACCAGGGTTTGGTGAGAGGCTCTGATCAGAGAAGCCTGAGACATTAGAAAATCTGATTTTGTCAGCTCAGTGAGCGGATCTATCTCTTAGAGGCAGACTAATGTTAAACAGAATCTTGGGACTAAATGTCAATTCAATTTACAATGAGAAATGTAATTGCCTCAAAAACTGGAATATTTGAATCTGCTTGACAAGGCTATTTTCTCCCCTTGGGTAATCTGCATGGGAAGCCAAATCACAGGCAGTGAACTCTTAGTTTAATTAATTTATTAATTTACAATGAGACCTAGCAGTGAGATTTTGCTTCTGGGACTGGCCAGTGATCTTTGGTTACCACATTTTTCTTTATATATGTTAATACATTCAGTCAGGTTAAATGATGTGACATATCTCTGCTGATTCATTGAATGTTCATTCTATAGTTTAACTTTTTAAAGGCAATCTCACTATTATGTCCCAGTTCTTTACATTTCTATGACAGTGAGTTATCTAGTTTCAGAGAAGTTCCAATCCTTTCTTTAGGAAAGAACCGGGACATAAGAATAGTACATACATATATAGCAAATGCACAAAAGCATGAATGGAAGGAAACAAACTCCAGGATGAAGGTTTACCCTGGAAAGGAAGACAGGTAGACATACTGGGACTTCAACTCTGTTCATAACATTATATTTCTCTTAAACATTTTTAAAAATTTTTCTTTAGAGACAAGGTGTCCCTGTGCCTCCCAGATTGAAGTCTGTGGTGCAATGACAGCTCACTGCAGCCTCAAACTCCTGGGCCCAAGTGATCCTCCTGCCTCAGCCTCCCAAGTAGCTGGGATTACAGGCGTATGCCA